AACAAATGCATGCTATTGAACAATCCAAAGTAACGTCTTTGGCTAAAATCGAGTCAGATATTGCGATAGTCGATAAGTCAAGAATGGTGAATAACTGAACGCGTAGGCCAAAAGTCCGAGAAGCACGACTACCGACCGGCTGTAACACAATGTAATGGGATGTAACACCGGATGCAAGTTTAATGATATCCTCTTGTAATGGGGTTGTTTTACAGTGGCAATGGCGAAGAAAACCAAAACAAAAAAACAAAAACATCAAAGAAAAATTAAACGTTGAGCAATCTCATACCCTGGGAAACTAGGAACAAGGTTGAAATGTTTGGGTGGAAAGTCTAACTCAGATTCATACGTACCGCAGAGCCCCGTGTTGAATTTTAGTTTATGTTGAATGGGTACAAGTGCAATCTGCATTTTTGGCACGCACAGCGTGAATTTCCCTTTTTTGCATACCTGTATAGACAGACAGAGTTCGAACGTCCAGGAGTTCTGAGAAAAACTAACTTCCTTGTTCTCATTCAAGCCTGCACATCATTTGTTGTTAACGAAAACCTGAACATATTTTAACACCTGTCAGTACTCCTTGATTTACTGTAGCTAAACCAAGAGACGATAAATGGTATCCTCTCTTATACAAACTTGATCCAATGTAGTAAAGCCAATGGAGGCAATCAGGTTACGTAAAACGATCAGTGACGCGCTTTTCTTTTGTCCTCTTTATTCACCACTGTATTAAAATAGTCATAAAAGATCCAAATATGGCTGTTTTTGTTCATCCCCCCAAGTAACCTACCTCCACACAAAAAATGAAGGGGGGTTAAAATTTTTCATTTCCAACTTTGCTTCACTTTCCTGGAGAATTGCTCTTAATTATTTATTCATCACGCAGGTGTGCGCATTCAAATTAAACAACTGTCTCTCGTCCACTTTCGTCCAACCAGTAAGGAGTTTATCCTGCAGCAGAACTTAACAGGTTGAGACTGAAGCGTTTGCTCCCAGAAAAAAAAAAATTAAAGACACAATAAAACAGATAAAATGAGCCTAAATTATCAAATACTCAATTTTCTGCTGTACGAAATGTATCGTTGATGTCTTAATATATATGTAGCAGTTTCTTACCAGTCCTGGCTTACTTTTCAGTGTTTACCACAAGAGGAAGTCGCAGTTTGCACAGGCAAGATAAACCCTTCTTGTAAGCCCTTCCATGTATTGCATAATTGTAATATGTTTTTGGTGAAAAAAGCAATCTTGACTATTTTCGATTCAGAGTTATATGTAATGTTTCCAGTGGTATTCTTTCATATTAATTGATTGTTGCCTAAGTGTTCAGACTTAACTCTTGAAAATGATGAATTTCCTCTTTGCAGAAGGCATCGGAAAAAGCTGTTCAAAACGAAATCGGTTTTAATGTTTGAACACGGAGCGAGCCCACAAAAAGGCAAGGAGACGCTAACATTGAAGCACTTTGTTGGCTTTCTTTGTGTAAAGGTGGAAAGCCGAAATAACGGCACAACGGTAGAAGTTGTGAAGAAAAAGTGTTTTTTGTTAAAACAGCGGTGTTATTTATGTAGAATAAAACATAGTAGATAATAAAAATACAGTGAAAAACAAACTTGTATTGACCCTTTAGAAGATGCCTTTCGAAGAACAAAAACGATGAATTCTCTTCGTCCGTTCGGCAGTCAGTTCATGGAACATTCAAATTTCGCCACCAACTAAAATAGCAAAGCAGACACCTGCTTTCGACGAGCTATCTGCTTCCATTTATCTGAGCATGCCGAGGACGAAACAATTCTCGTAAGAGGTGATTTTTTTAGCCTACCAACACAGACGGATTGGTGGGATGTACAGATTTATTCAGATTTATGTGCGTCATGATTGTGCAAACAAAATGCAAATTGAACAATGCTGAGTTATTCCTCAAACTTGTCTATATTCCAAAGAAATTCGAAACAAAAAGTAGTACGAAGTAAAGAAAGAGAACTTGAAAAATGACAGAGTGAGACTTCGCAGAATATAGACGTTAGAAAGGAGAAGGAAGACTCGTGGCTGAAGATAGATAGAAACTTTATTAAGAATGTCATCAACCACCTGAATGCAATAAAAACAAAACTTAAGGTCATGCAAGACCGACTGAATTTGAGCAGCAAGGTTACGACAGCAGCTAATGCTCATCTTAAGTTATGGAATCTCCTTTAGATAGCTGGCTGAAGAATAACCGTATTACCGTGGAAACAGTAATATTTTGTTTTGGATCCGGCTTGAGTTACATTCAATGCAACTTCGTTGCGATGTACAAATCCACAATGACTATAAAATGTTTAAGCAAGCAGCCGGAACGCTGATCCTGCTAATATACGTTGGATCAATAGTGATCTAATGGGCTTCACACATAAAATGAAAAATATAAAAGCAGAAACCGACACAGCGTAGGATGATTTCCTAGGATGTACTATATTTCGGCTGGCCAAACCGGCCTTCTCCAGGTACAATGAGAATTTTACATTGAAACGTGTTTTTAAGTAGCATGTTTTCGTAATACCGGAAATACGTAAATAATGAAATAACATAATAAAAGGAAGCAATTAAAATGTTTTTTCGCGGATGTTCAGACCATCGGGATCAATTGTTCCGCCCTTTTGAATTAAAAAAGCTTTCTTGGCCTTAAGGATAGGGTCTCGGTTGGAAAAGAGTTTTTCGATGGGGATTAATTGCACGTCGTTAGCAGTACATGTGGCTAGGAGAGGACAGGAAAATCTAGCCGCGTTTATAATTTACCGGCCGCATATCGTCGTCTCGCACATTATTACCTTCGCAGTCTACTTGCATCTGGGGTCTTTTGCGAGATGCGGTTCCCAAACTTATTTCTTAACGGCGTTAATCCACGGAGTAAAGAGACTCTATTTTCTTCAGTCTGGCATCAAAAGTACTAGACAATTCACGGCATTCTAATGTGAGTAAACAGCTCGAAAACATACAATCGCTTTCGCAGGTGGAAAAAGAAAATTATGGAGTTGAATTAAAAAAAAAAANAATTAAAAAAAAACAAAAAACAGTCAATTATCTTTCTAACCTGTTTTCCTGGAGGAAATTTTATTGTTTACAATAATATTATTATTACGATGTGTCCCGGAGTCCCAGACCCGCAGTGTGGCACGAAATGAGCTTATTTGCTTTTCCTGTCGGGAATGGCCCCTTTGGCGAGGGTTAAAAAAAACAACATATTTACTGGGAAGTAGCTACCAAGTGTAACCCAAATCTTAAAACAAGCAAGTTTCTCATTCGACGAAAACAAGTACAGGACTACGCATGCATGACAAAAGCTTGACTTTTTCTCGCATCAGTAATGTTTGAAACTTTTTGAAAATTCAGTGCGTTACAACAATGATTGTTATCTTACTTATTCAAGCTTAGTGCATGGGATTCTCTTCGAAATAAGAGAAATGCACAATGCAAACTGATGAGATTATCATTTATCATTTACAACACATCGGTAATGTTTTAATACCGCATTGCATGATTAAAAGATGCTTTTATTCGCGACAGAAAGCCCAAAATTAACAGGCATCCGAGACAATTAGGGATAAAAAACTGGCAAAAACAAACAAGCAAATAAGCATCAGGGGTCACTGTTCCTCCGTTTTGTTCCTTTAAGTGGTAAAATTCATACATTATCCATGTGATCTGTAGCCCTGAAATATCATATCAAACAAAAAAGTGGTGTTGCTATACCCCTCCCAGCCCCTCCCTCGTCGCAACTCTGCATCTTGAAGTAAACATGAAGAGCAGCTGGTCCATGCTTGTCCAAGCTGGTTCAAGCTATTACCTCGTATTTAATTTTCCTGTGAAACTTATTCTATCTTCCCTTGCATCAACATAAATAGTGTTTGGGACATATCTGTTCCACATGTAGTTCTTTGCAAGTAAATCGATTTCCCTGTTGTATCACAGGCCCTTCATAACATTCATTTCGGGTTTCTGTTTACTTCAATGCAGTCTCCAGACTCAAATTTACATTATTTTTCTGTCCTGCTATTTATATTTACAGTTGAAGCTCTTGTAAGCGGACGCCCACCGCACGCGAAAAAGGTGTGCCCGTAACGGGAGCTGGTCGCCTACGAGAATGGTTCTCATAAGCGGCCACTGGAGAATTAATGTAGAAAATTGCACGAATATATGAGCCAAAGTTTTTGTTATTCTTTATGCAAATTGCTGTGGTAATTGTTATTATAATTTCGACCCATGTGATATTTTTGAGAAAATGACGTCATTTTCTCCAATTCTCAACCAAGTTACAAAAGCCTCGAAAGAGACCTTATAGGGGAGAGCAACTGGACTTGTTTCATACTGAATGTTCAACTCTTTAGACCTTGTAGTTGATGAATTAGTGAATTTTCCTTATACTCTTATAGAGAACTGTAAAGCTTCCATTTCATACATGTATTTAATATTTTACATAGAGATTTCAACTGTTGAAAGAGATTAAAAGCCTNTTTCTCCAATTATCAACCAAGTTACAAAAGCCTCGAAAGAGACCTTATAGGGGAGAGCAACTGGACTTGTTTTATTCTGAATGTTCAACTCTTTGGACCTTGTAGTTAATGAATTAATGAATTGTCCTTATAAGCTCTTATAGAGAACTGTAAAGCCTCCATTTCATACATGTATTTGATATTTTACATAGAGATTTCAACTGTTGAAAGAGATTAAAAGCCTCCTCAATTGAGGATGGAAGCTGCAGGCCTTGGTGATTCATAACATAATGGTAACCCTCTTGGTAAATGTCAGCTTCGTTGTCATTGTTTTCCACATTCAAATGCCATGTAATAATTTTTTTTATTTTGCAGCAAAATTTTAATTTGCTGTAATAATTTTAATTTGCATGGGTGACCCTTCTGGGCCACCGTACTATACACTCCTTGTAGTTCAAAATTTAACGTGGAGGTCATATAACAGCTCTTGTACATGTAATCAAGTAAACGTTAAGTTCTATTGTGATCATGTTATTTCATTTGGATTATTGAAATTATGTGTACTGTTAAGTCAACCATCAAGCTGTAGTTGGTTGAAACTTTGGAAGAGGTCAAGGCATGTCTCTCATTAAGAGGATAATTCCAGCCTTCAATGTCCATTATGTATTCAAAATACTCCTTGTAGTCATCCTCCTCTACTTCCATATCGGACTGTGATTCTACTTCTCTTATTTGGGCTTGGGAAACAGGTACAAGGCAATGGACAGCACCCGAATTTTCAGGTAGGTAGTGAAGGATGTCGGGAACCCCTGCAAATGTATCATGACGTGACCTCCTAATGTAATGACTGCTCCAGTGATCTCTTACTTTATCAAGTTCATTTTAAATTACTTTTGTGAAACAAAACCATAAAAATTTCAAGTGGAAAACATTCCCTAGCTCACGTGCTCTGGACTCACACATGTGTTTGAAGAAATTGATTACCAATTTGACCTGCTTTGTGCAAAAGGAGACCACCACCCTTCAGTCCGCTGGTTTGAGGGCGAAGATCCATACTGGTGAGCTTTTTCAGCTGCAAATTCATCGTTCTCAACATTTATAAAATAGCATTGCATTGTAGCTAAAACTACATTTTCAGTACCATAATCAAAACGTACAATTCTTGGCCAGCCTCCTACATTCTGGACAGCATCTAAAAAAAATGTGGCTGGTATCTTTGGATTATTGTTAGATTTGTCCACTTCCAACCAGATTATTCTTGTGGTGTACCCACAGATGCAGCCATGGATTGGGAAGCCATGTGATTTTAGTTTGATACCCTAGGTGTCAAAAATATACATCATAAAAATAGAACTTCATTTCCAAGGTCCTAACTACACACAATTTTATAACATGCCTCGAGATCACCCAGATTGCGTAAACGTAAACCCTTGAAAGCTAGAGTTAGAGTTTTTGGAAACAGTAGTGAACTACTCTAAGAATTAATAAAAGTCAATATCTCAGAAAGAGGTGGTGGCCT